CTCTAAATCTCTCCCCATAAGAAAAGCATTAATTATAAAGAATAAAATAGTAAACTTTGCAGCAGAAAAGACTGGAAGAAAACACGTTAAATATGAAAACAAAACAAAAACCCTCTAAACAAATACAAATTCAGTGAATTTTACTACACGCAAATTAATAAAAACATTTAAAAAAAAACCACGTATGCTCTAAGACTATCGCTGCAGCTTTATTTATAATAGCCCAAAACTTGAAGATTCAAGTAAAATTTAGCTTCCACTGAGAAAGTAAGAAATGAACACTAATAAGGACAGCTGAATAGTTACAATGAAACTGTCCTTTCCTCCCAAGGCACAAAGTAGCTCTAATGACTGTTTTGAATTATTAGTTTTCTTGACAAATCGCTCTCGCAAAAACTTCCTGGAAAATAGTGAATAGAAGTCGTGAAAGTAGTTGCTTTCTTACTTGCTGAGAAACTTTGTTCTCTAATCACAGACTTTCAGAAATTTGCTGTTTGAAATTAAAGGGAAAAAAGAAACATCCCACTGTTGACCTAGTCTGAATTTACAACCCTGGTGCTGAGCTTCAGATAAAGAGTTTCTGAACACAACAATCCACATCTAAATTTTGTTTCCAAGGAAACAGGACGCTGGGCCATTTGCAGTCCAGACCTGATACCAAACCAAACCAAACCCACTGCTATCGAGTTGATTCTGACGCATAGCAACCCCAAAGGGTTTCCAAGGCTCTAAATCTCTACACAGACTGCCACATCTTTCTCCTGCAGAGCTATTGGTGGTTTCAAACCACTGACCTTTCAGTTGGCAGTTGATCACTTTAACCACTGCGCCACCAGAGCTCCTTCTAGTCCAGATGTCCACCCTTATACAGTCCTGCTTGACTTTGAGACTAATAAAACACTAGCCATAGAATGGTTGAATACACTATCATACATCCACTAAAGACAGGCTTTGCAGCCAGAACAAAGGATGAAGAGGAACACTATGAACTGACATAGTTTGACTTTCAGGACATAAAGAGGGGGGTACATTTATGTACAGATAACTTGATAAATAAACTTATTTATGTATTTATTTACTTATTTAGGGAGGAGTATTTCTGAGAAACACTAGAAGTTTACACCAGACCCTGTTAAGATGGGAATGAGTAACTGGGGGTGATATTAACAAAGCTGATATAGGAGAAAGTCAGAATTCTGAATACACCTTTTCCTTACTTATTGACTATCTCATTATCTGACATTTGCATTTATTACAATAGCAAAAAATCTATTCAATTATTTTGAGAATAACTTACGTCTGCCAGTAACGAATGCTGAGGTGTGAGGCAAGCGCAGCGCTTGCTTTGATGGTTATGTGTCAACTTGGCTGGGCCATGATTCTCAGTGGTTTGTCAGGCATGTAATGATGTCATCCATTTTGTGATCTGATATGGTCATCCTCCATTTTCACATAATGATTTCACATAACCTAGTCTTTTGAATCTTGGTGAGGAGAAAGTGTATATTTTTATACAATTTTTACTTTTGAACCATGTAAAAGTTTTATACACAATGGCCCCAGTTTAAGAATGTCCAACTTTTGGACAATTCATACTTAAGAACTACCATAAAGCCTACTGTATTAAAATTTTGAGTTAAATATGCACGCACTATTTTGTGACGCTCACAAAAACATTGCGAAGCTTCAGTAGTTCACTGACTTAAGAATGTAGTCCACCTTTTTAAGCTGGATTATGTTGCCGTTAATACTGTGTTGTTCGTAACTTTGTATTTGGTTTCAATTTTCCTCGTTTACCCTTGCAACCATGCCTCTAAAGTGTAAATCCAACGCAAGTGCTGATGATGCATCAAAGAAAAGGAACACAATCACGACTGAAAATAAAATGGAAATAATAAAGTGTTCGGAAAGAGGTTAAATGCCATCGGTCACTGGAAAAACGTAAGGCTACAGTCAATGATTGGAATAATTTTAAAGGATAAAGTGAGACAAATGAAGCATGTGAAAGGCTCTGCCCCAATGAAAGCTACAATTATTACTGAGCAGTACAGTGGTTTAATTATTGAAATGAGAAGGCTGATAATTTGGTTAGACGATCAAAATCAGTGTAATATGCTTATTAGCCTTCCTTTAGTACAAGAAAAGGCTCAAAGCCTTTTCTCAGTGGTTTAAAAGCTGCATGATGAAGAATACTGAATATGCCATGGACTTCCAAAAGAACAAATGTCTTGGAAGAAGTACAGGTAGAATGCTCCTTAGAAGTTAGAATGGCGACTTCATCTCACGTACTTTGGGGCATATCATCAGGAGAGACTGGTCCCTGGAGGACAGCATACTTTTTAAAGTGGAGGCTCAGAGAAAAAAAGGAAGACCCTCAACAAGATGGATTGACACAGTGGCTGCAATGGGCTCAAGCATAACAACGAGAATGGCACAGGACCAGGCTGTGTTTCGTTCTGTTGTACATACGGTCGCTGAGTCAGAACCAACTCAACGGCACGTAATAACATATACAGCAAGTGAAAATGATGGTGATGAAGAATTTGTTGTGAACAGGGGCTGGTTGTTTCCCAAAGTGAGGGCAAATTTACATATTAAAGTGCAAGGTGAAGCAGTGAGTGCTGATATAAGTGCTGAGTGGTTTTCCATAATGTTGAAAAAATTATTGAGGCAGGTTATTTGCGACATCAAATATTTAATGTCGATGAGACTGGCTTATTTTGGGGAAAAATGCCTATAAGGACCTACAGTATGAAAGAGGGAAAAAAGTGCACCAAGGCATAAGTCATCGAAGTGTAGGCTAATGTTATTGCTTGGGGGTAGGTAACACATCTGGGGATTTCAAGCTCAAGGCTTTGCTTGTGCATCGCTCCCTAAATCCGAGGACACTTCACTGTATCATTAAGGCATGTCTTCCTGTTACGTGGAAGGCAAATGAAAAGGCTTGGGTTACAACTGCCGTCTTTGAAGATTGGTTCTTGAACCATTTTGTCCCTGCCATTGAACATTATTGCTTGGCCAAGAAAATTCCCTTCAAGATTCTCCTTCTGCTTGACAATGCACCTGAACATTCAACCACTTTAGATGACCTTTGCTCTGATGTAAAGGTCATATTTAACCCCCTAACACCACATCGCTACTTCAGCCAATGGATTAAGGAGTCATAGCCTCCTGTAAGGCCTATTATTTACAGTACCTTCTCACAAGCAATCAGGGCTACCCAAGATGATGCAGTGAGCTTAAGGGAGGTCTCGATGAATTACAACATCTATGATGTCATCAAAAATATGGCTGATTCTTGGGATGAAGAGAAACAGTCAAATACGGAGTGTGGAACAAACTGTGACCCTAATTCACATTGGCTTTTCAGGAGTTTACAGCTGACATTGCTGAAGCCAGGCAAGCTGTAGTTGACATTGGTAATGAACTGCAGTTAGATATCAGTGAAAATGATAACTACTGGACATCCATGACAAAGAACCAATGAAGACCTTAAGGAACTAGAGCAGCACGTGATAGTATTTGAGGAGGAAGATGGGACCTAAAAACTCCAAAAGCAAAAACGTTTTTGATGAGTTAGCTGAAGGCTTTTTTCTCATTGAAGCAGGGATGGCAAAGTTAGAGATCCTAATACGGAGAGGTTCACCAAAGCTTACTATCAAGTTATTGAGGGCCTCAGCTGCTACAAGTCCATTTATGATGAGAAACAAGCTCTGCAGAAACCTCCCTTGATACCTACTTCAAGGAATTTACTCTGGCAGTAAACCCCACCCCTAGCAGCAGAATCAAACCCTGACTCGCCAGCACCAGGTCCATCCTTTCCAACACCAGGCCCATCATCTTCAACAGGAGCCATCTCTCCATCTTCTCCTGCATCACCCAATTATTAATGCTATCACAATTTACCTCATGAATGTCACTTCCGGTATGCAAGACATCAACGGAATGAGTGTTAACCTTTAATCATTACTTTTTCTTTCTCTATCCAAAGTGTTTTAAGAACTTTATTTTTTACAAGTACTGTATACCTACACACACACTCTCTTCAGTACAGTACCATATGTAATTACTTTTATTATTACTACATTATGTTTAAGATATTTTAGTGTATTTAGAAGTTTCTTAAGTGCTTAGAAAAGTATGCATAGAAAAGTAAAATACATATACTAAGAAGAACATTGACGCTAAATAAGAACTGTTTGTTCTGACTTATCTACAAATTTGACTTGAAGACAGACCTAGGAACAGATCTCGTATGTAACATGGAGACTGTATGTTAAAAAATGTTAAAAATGAAAGCAAACCTTTAAATATGAACAGAAACAAACCTAATAATATATATCCTACCACTACCTGTTAACTTTGTTGTACTGTGGTGACTTTTGTGTTACCATGAGGCTGGAAGCTATGCCACTGGTGGTATTTCAAATACCAGCAGGTCACCAATGGTAGACAGGTTTCAATAGAGCATCCAGATTAAGACAGATTAGGAAGGCCAGGTGATCTACTTATGAAAATCAGCCAATGAAAACTTGCTGGATCACAATAGAATATTCTCTGCTATAGTACTGGAAGATGTGCCCCATAGGCTGGAAAGCAATACTCAAATATATCAATAATCATGAAGATGGAGCAGGACCAAGCAATGTTTCATACTGTTATACATAAGTCGCCATAAACTGGAGCTGACTTGACAGCAACAATATCAAACTGATCATGTAACCATGCATAGTTTAAATGTTTGAGCACAGTACTCTTAAGTTTATATCCTTAAGATACACAATGATAAATATGAAAAGGTAAAAAAAAAAAACCCAAACCCCTCAGTACTTAGTAAGTTTTTAGTTGGTAGTACAGTCATGTGCTACATAATGTCCATTCAAGCAATGTCCAACCACATATACGTCCATGGTCCCATAGGTTATAACGGTTCAGAAATCCTGATCAGAGGACTGGATGTAGCAGATGTAACTGGACATAGCAAATTCAACAGCTTCCCACACACAACACGTGTATCTCCCGTCTCTTGTGTACAAAGTGATTGCACTGACAGGTGTATTAATGGTACACTACATACGTAATCTATGTGTCTCGATAATCATAATAAACGCGTTACTAGCTTATATATGGACCGTACTTTGTATCATTATTTTAATGTGAAATTTCCCTACTTACAAATAAAGTTTACCGTAAAACGGTGTATGCTTTGACTTGTAGGCAGCAGTATCCAATCTCGTGGATTGCGCATCTTGAGTGTTGTAGCATTATCTAATTTTCTTTCAAAATTACCATGAAGTGCATCATGGCTCCCAAATGCAGCAAAATCAGTGCTAGTGATAGCAGCAGCAAGAGGCAAAGGAGAAGAATCGATATGAGGTGAAACAAAAGGTTATTAAACATGAAAGTGGAAAATCAGTGAATGCCATTGCTAGTCATTTAGACATGTCCGCACATCCAAATCACATAACGTCCTATTTCACAGAATGTATCATGGACATTAAATGACACGACTTTACTATTAGTATTATGATTTTAAAACTACTACATACATTCCGCAAGATAAAATTAATACATATATGAGAAAAATAGAAACTTTATGTTCACATAAAACCTGCAAAAGAATGTTTATATCATCTTTATTCATAACAACTGGAAATACACCTGTCCTCCAAATGGTGAATACACAAACTGTAGTATAACTACACAATGTAATACTGTACAGCAATACAGAGAAACAAACTATGTGCATCAGTGTGGATTCCTCTCAAATGCGTTATGCTAAGTGAAAGCCAGAATCAGAAAGCTACACAGTGCACGAGGGACGTTTCTGGCGGGAAGAAAGGTACTATTCTGTACTTTCATTGTGTGAATGATTATAATGCTTAATGCATTTATCAACTCATATTCCAAAATTGTCTCATTGTTAAATACTGAAAACTCATTTAAACAAAAAACCCACTGCTGTTGAGATTTCAATTCACAGTGACCCTATAGTGACCCTTTTAGTGACTACAGAATATTCTGATGTATGGCCAGGCATGAACTTAACTCCCTTTCTAGTGGACACTTTCATGGTTTTCACTATCATCATAACTATCAAAAGGCACCATCATGGCAGCCAGGGATATTCATATGATGAGTCTACAAGGGGAAGTGTTGGGTCAAGTAAAGGTCTAATTTGAAGGCTTCTCCTACCTATGGCCATGATTTCTAAGCTCCTGAGTCAGTGAGTCAGATTCCACTTCAGCATTGGTAGAATGGCACTGGATAAACTTCCAGGCCCAACAATCCTCACTGTGTCCTAATACAGGAACCCTAGCTAGCCTCCCATCTTCTCCAGGCCCTGCAGTGGCTGTGCACACCAGGTAGAGCCGTAACCACTATTCCAGCCCATCCCAGCAAATGCAGCCTCAGCTCCTGGCCCAGCACAAACTCTTGGACTGTCAGAAATACCAAAACCAGAACTCTATCCCTGAGCACAGGCTCTGGATCTGTGCAGGACAAAAGCTCCAGTACAGCCAGGTCATGTTGGGGCTCTGTGTGGGCACAACATAGCCTTAAGAATTTGTATATAAAGGAATAAAAATGCAAACACTACTGATCAAAATTCATGTCCTAGAATTGAAACCACTGTTATTGTTATTAGGCACCATCCAGTCCATTTCTGACTCATAACCACCCTATGTGACACAATTGTCCCAAGAGTTTCTCAGGCTGTAATGTTTATGGAAGCAGATGGCCAGGTCTTTCTCCTGTGGAGCCACTAGGGAGGTTTAAAATTCCAACCTTTCAGCAGCTGAGTGTACTTATAGTGACATTTATCACCTTAATGTTTACATCAAAAAATGAAAATATGAAATTTCATAATTTGTAACTTTCGTAACTGTGATAAGATTCCTTCCCTGGTATAAATTCCCTTGTGCACTATAAAGAAAATAGTGTGACTGAAGGCTTTCTTACGAAGTTTACAGTCACGGGGTCTCTCCAGCGTGTGTGGTCTCATGGGTGTCCTCTGTGAAAAGGAACACTGAAGGCTTCCATTTTTACCTTCAAAGCATCAATCCACAGTATATCTCACATGTTGTCCAAGAATGAAAAAGATGTGTAGATGTTCCCAGTTACCTTACATTTACATGTTGTCTCTCTAGTGCAACTTTTCACATGTTCAGGTGGGTTACCTAGGAAAGACTTTTCCATATACGTGAATTACAATGTCTTTGAAAGCATGGAGAGAAAAAATATCTCACGTTTCTCACACATGCTTTCTCTGCCTTGTATCCTCTCTTTCAGGTTTGTGAAAAGATAACAGATAAAAACTATCCAACATTAGACATACATTGCTTTTCTCTAGTATATCTACTAAGATGTATTCCAAAGAATGAGCGACATGTGAAGACTCTGTATATTCTTTATATTAAGGATTCTCTCCACAGTGAGTGTGTCTACAGAGGAGAAAAAAATAACTAAAGACTTCCACATTCCTTACATTCATAAGGTTTCTCTTCACTATACTTTTGTGTTCTGTGAAATAAGCGTTATCAGTAATAGCTTTCCCTTATTATATTTATAAGGTCTCTCTGCACTGTGAGGTTACTGATGTTCAATAAGGATGGAGGAATAAAGGCTTTCCCACATTAACTATATTCATAAGTCCTCTCTGCACTGTGAGTTACATGTGTAGCGAGGTGAGAGGAACAATTAAAGGCTTTCCCAAATTCCTTATCTTCATAAGGCCTCTCTCCTCTATGAGTTCTTCTATGTGTAGTGAGGGCTGAAGAACAGATAAAAGCTTTCCCACATTCTTTACATTCATAAGGCCTCTCTCCACTGTGAATTCTTATATGTTTAGTGAGAGAAGAGGAGTCTCTAAAGGCTTTCCCACATTTCTTACATTCATAAGGCTTCTCTCCACTATGAATTCTTATATGTTTAATTAGAGAGGAGGAGTCTCTAAAGGCTTTCCTACATTCCTTACATTCATAAGGCCTCTCTCCACTGTGAATTCTTAAATGTTTAATGAGAGAGGAGGAGTCTCTAAAGGCTTTCCCACATTCCTTACATTCGTAAGGCCTCTCTTCACTGTGAATTCCTATGTGTTTACTGAGAGATGAAGAATCACTAAAGGCTTTCCCACATTCCGTACATTCATAAGGCCTCTCTTCATTGTGAATTCCTATGTGTTTAATGAGAGAGGAGGAGTCTCTAAAGGCTTTCCCACATTCCTTACATTCATAAGGCCTCTCTCCACGGTGAATTCTTGTATGTTTACTGAGAGAGGAGGAGACACTAAAGGCTTTTCCACATTCCTTACATTCGTAAGGCTTCTCTCCACTGTGAACTCTTATATGTTTAGTGAGAGAGGAGGCGTCTCTAAAGGCTTTCCTACATTCCTTACATTCATAAGGCCTCTCTCCACTGTGAGTTCTTATATGTGAAGTGAGGTGTGAGGCCTGACTAAAAGCTTTCCCACATTCCTTACATACGTAAGGCTTCTCTCCACTATGAGTTCTTATGTGTGTAGTGAGTGCTGAGGAACAACTAAAGGCTTTCCCACATTCTTTACATTCATAAGGCCTCTCTCCACGGTGAATTCTTGCATGTGTAGTGAGATTTGAGGAACAACTAAAGGCTTTCCCACATTCCTTACATTCATAAGGCCTCTCTCCACTGTGAATTCTTTTACGTTTAGTGAGAGAGGAGGCGTCACTAAAGGTTTTCCCAGATCCCTTACATTCATAAGGCCTTTCTCCACTGTGAGTTGTTGTAAGTGTAGTGAGGTGTGTGGAACGATGAAAGGCTTTCCCACATTCCTTACATTCATAAGACCTCTCTCCACTGTGAGTTCTTATATGTATAATGAGGGATGAGGAATGACTAAAGGCTTTCCCACATTCTTTACATTCATAAAGCTTATCTCCACTATAAAATTTTCTATGTAAAGTGAGTGATGAGGAATAGGTTTTCCAGTATCCTTTATATTCATGCTTGTGACCTCTCACAAGTGTCCAAAAGGATGAGAAACTACAGAAATCTCCACATCCATTACATTCATAGGGTTTCTCTCCAGTGAGTGTTGTCACATCATTCTTAACAGTTGAGATACAAAAGCAGCCTTTCCCACATACCTTACATTCACAGGGTTTCTCTTCAGTAAGCATTCTCATAGGAGTACTTAGGTAAGAAAAACAATTACAGACTTTTTCATGTTCATTATACTGATAGGTGTTGTATCCAGTGTGAGATATGATATGATGCTTAAGTGATAAGTGATCTATGAAGAATTTTCCACATTCATGGTATTCAGAAGGTTTTACCTCAGTAATTCTTTTGAACACAGTAAGATTTGGAATCCAGCTGAAGGTTTTTCCACCTTTATTATCTTCATTATTTTCACAAAGGTTCTCTATCATATGCCTTCTGTTAAAAAATAGGCAGGATGCTGTTAGGATTAAACTTGTTCTAATTTCACCATTACCAAACACAGTGAATATGTATGTTTTTTTCCCTGGGCTGTCTCATGTTTCATAGGTTAAATCATCTGGCAGAGACACTACCATTATTGTCACCATTTTAAAAAAATACGTGGTTTCTGATAATTGTATACTAGTAAAATATACTTGAAATATTCAATATGTGACTCATGCTAATGGAAATATTGTATTGTGAAAATTATGTAAACACACAATTTTAGAACTTGTGTATTTTTTTTAATACTACGATGCCTTAAGACTTTCTCCTGAGCTGTGGGGACCATTGTCTCGGGGAACATCTAGCTCAATTGGCATAACATAGTTTATAAAGAAAATGTTCTAGATTCTACCGTGGTGAGTAGCATCTGGGGTCTTAAAAGCCTGTGAGCAGCCATCTAAGATACTCCACTGGTCTCACCCCTTCAGAAGCAAGAGAGAATGAAGAAAAAAAGATACAAGATTAGTCCAAAGGACTAATGGACCACAACTACCATGGCTTCCACCGGACTGAGTCCAGTACAGCTAGATGGTGCCAGGCTACCAACGACTGCTCTGACAGGGATCACAACACAGGATCCTGGACAGAGCTGGAGAAAAACGTAGAACAAAATTCTAACTCACAAAAAAGATCAGACTTACTGGCCTGAGACTGGAGAAACCCTGAGAGGATGGCCCCCCGACACCCTTAGCTCAATAATGAAGTCACTCCCGAGATTCACCCTCCAAAGATTAGACAGGCCCATAAAACAAAATGAGACTAATGGGGAACAGCCCAAGGACAAGGACTAGAGGGCAGGAGGGGACAGGAAAGCTGGTAATAAGGAACCCAAGGTCGAGAAGGGAGATTGTTGACATGTGGGGTTGTTAACCAATGTCATAAAACAATGTGCATACTGTTTAATAAGAAACTATTTGTTCTGTAAACCTTCATCTAAAGTTAAAAAAAAAAGCTTTCTCCTGAAGCAATGTTTTCTATCATATGAATGAAACTCACCTCACATGTCTGTCTGGGATTTTATGTTGATCTTCAAAGCCATGCAATTTGCAGATTTCTCCCAACACGGAGGACCAGGAGTCATTCCTCTTGAATCGTAGTATTAGATGTTCACTTGATAATTTTTCTCTATCATTAAGGTTTCGAGAACCTGAACCTATGATTTAAGATGAGAGTTACAATATAAAACAAAGGAATTATTAGAAGGAAAACAACTGTGAACCAAGAAAGACTTTGAGGAATTCGGGTGTTTGATGGTCAAAAAGCAATTTGCCATTTGAAGACTGACAGTGACAGTGAAATAAATGAGGTGTAATTAGGAGAGTAAAGTAGAAAGATGTTGGGCACAATGCACTTACAACATGGAAATGCACAATGTACAAATAACAGGAAAAGAGGTCTTTCTCCATAAACACATGAAGCTCAAGCATCAAGGAAGTTCAGTCTCCTCAACCCAAAAGAGATTTTCTCTAACTTATTTATTCTAATCTAATTCCCTCCATGCAGGACTGGTCCTTCAAAAGATTATTCCCTTCCTGGTGCTCCCCCACATGGTGGCTCTGGAAGATGTCACACTACTCAGATCTTTCGCTTCTCTGGAAAACAAATGCATTTAGCTGACACGGTGCTTTTGGAGAAAGGCATATCATGTGGGAAGACAGTGAAGAGCAATAAACATTTTCCTGACACTTTAGTCTTCAGAGCGTGCAGAGATGAAAGCTGTGTTTCTTTGTAGCAAAATAATCATGTTAAACTTGTAATAAACACAATAAAACAATTTACAAGGTCCCAAACCACAAATCTCTCTGTGCCCTAAAGTCACCCCTAGAGCCAATGCTCACACTTACAACACTTAAAGAGCCTCAAGCCTTTTTAAACCAGATACTCACTTTAATACATAGATTTCTATTCATATGGGAGCAAGGCTATGTAAGCTCCACAGAACAAATTAACATGCTGTCTTCATTAACAATGTATTCCCATTCCTCAGCCCAAATACTGGAGCAAGGTTGATGAGTATATTTTTTCACTCAAGAAGTAAATAACAAAAATGATGTCATCCTTACCTACTGAGGCCAGGTTTTTGAAAGTTTCCATCATCACATCTCTATAGAGTTTCCTCTGAGCAACATCCAGCAAAGCCCACTCTTCTGGGGTAAAATCCACAGCCACATCCTCAATGACCATGGAGTCCTAAAACATCCCACATATGTACTCCAATGAGTGTAAAAGGATGGGTGAGACCTAAAGTCCTGGGGAACTGAGAATTTATAGGGATTTGAAACAAGGTTCTGTGTTGTACCAAGGTCTACTTTGGGGTTTAGCCATTAGCCTCTTCCCTTCACTGTCTAAATTCCCTCACTGACTGCATCCTGTCTCATAGATTCTACAATCTTTCAGCATATGAACTTATCTCTCCACAGTTTTACTGTGACCAATTCCAGTCTTAGTCTTCTCTATCTTTATGGTCTAGTATAATCAGAGCACATGGGAGAAACTACATAAATGTTCTACTAATTAGTCTTATTTCCATACTGAGATCATTTCCTTCTGAAAAAATCAATTTTATCTCATTTCATAAGACCCACCAAAACACAAAGTATGAAGGACAGGGTGAAAAGAGGCTGAGATATGAACAACTGGGAAACACCATAGGACTGGCAGTTTTTCCTTTTGCCCCTCACCAGCTGTCTTGGTTATCTAGTGCTGCTATAACAGAAATACCACAAGTGGATGGTTTTAACATTTATTCTCTCACAGTCTAGTAGGCTAGAAGTCTGAATTCAGGGCACCAGCTCCAGGGGAAGGTTTTCTCTCTGTTGCCTCTGGAGGAAGGCCCTTGTCATCAATCTTCCTATGGTCTAGGAGCTTCTCTGTGCAGGAACCTTGGGTCCAAAGGACATGCTCTGCTCCCAGTGCTGCTTTCTTGGTGGTATGAGATTCCCCAACTCTCTGCTCACTTCTCTTTCATCTCTTGTAAGATAAAAGGTGATGCAGACCACAACCCAGGGAAATTTTCTTCACATTGGATCAGGGATGTCACCTGAGTAAGGGTGTTACATCCTACCCTAATCCTCTTTAACACAGCCCAAACTTGCCTCATTAACCACAGGGATTATGGTTTACAACATATAGGGAAATTACGTCAACCATGAAATGGAAGACAACCACAATACCGGAAATCATGGCCTAAGCAAGTTGACACATATTTTGGGGGGACACAATTCAATCCACAGCACCAGCCATGAGAGGCCCAGGGGACTACACGAACTCAGAACCATTGCTCTTAGCTGGTCTTATTTTAAGTACCCAGGTAACTGGAGCCCTGGTGGCCCAGCAGTTAAGAGTTCAGCTGCTAACCAAAAAGGTCAGCAGTTTGAATCCAGCAGCCGCTCCTCATAAACCCTATGGGGCAGTTCTACCCTGTCCTATAGAGCACTATGAGTAGGAATCAACTCGACGGCAATAAGTATATGTAGTACCCAAGTAATCAAGAGGTAATAGGACCACCTGCTGAAAAGAGAATATTATTTTTGGGTATTACGAATTTTTACACGTCACCTATTTTTCAATAAATTAACCACTTGCTCAATGTTGCCCAATTGGAATGTTGCTGAGTCAGAATGCAGATCTATTTGTTTTTAAAGCCTAAATTCCTAACAACTGTATTTTGTTCATATGCATATAGTTTTGTTGTTATTCACTCTGTTATTCTCCAATAACATCATGGATGATCTAGAGCCCTGCTGGGTATGAGGGAGAGAAGACAAAGGAAACACCCTATTAAGAAAACCTGGGGCTCCTTGTCTTGGCAAAACCCCGTGTCTCAGGCAAGACTGTTTTCCTTCAAGCCCTTACCTCTGGCTCCTTCATTTAATAAAATCGATTTCGATAATACTGACACAGAGCTTAGTTCATGTGGGCAAATCAGATTAAAAAATGAAAAAAACAGAAATATCTAGATGCACGTGGATCATAAGTTCTTTGGGTACACACAAAATGTTAAGTGGTGATGTTCTATGGAAATTATCACAGTAAGGGGACAAGCAGTACGACAAACATTTTTATCTTTATTGAGTTAGTGTAGGGAGAAGCAAAATCATTTTAGAAAACACTAGCGAGTGAATCCTAGCTTAGTAAGAAAAAATTGCACTTTCAATTCTAAAAACTTTGAAGCAGATTGTGATGACTTTGCAATTGTAAAGATTTCAGATACTCATTGACTTCAAGTCCCAACGTAGAGGCACCCAAGAGTCAAAGGGCTCCAATGACCTTCATGCCCATGAAAGGGAAGATACACTGTTTATACCCAAAAAAGAAAAGATCATTAGTAATACTCTAAACATATACATTTGGGAAACTCGAAAAATAAAAACAGCATAATAGTATAAAAAAAGTAATATGGAAATAAAATAGTAATGATATAAAACACAAACAAAGACTTCCAGTTTCTGGTCCTATATATAAGGAGTTTGGAAGTCATGACTCCCATCCTCACAACAAGCATAAAAGCTGAACATACTGAACTCAAAGAATTGAGAACACAGGGCAAACTACTGCCCCAAAACTAGAGGGACACATAGGCAGATACAGAGAATCATTCCAGAGCAGAAGTCCAGAAACAGAAACCACCACTAGGATCAGTACTGGAGCAGGAAAACTTAAACTGTAACTGATGAATTGCTGAGTCAGTGTGGACAAGCTTGATGGTTAAAAACGCCAAGAGCGCCCAATCATAGGGGGACCCACAGTTTTGTGAGTTTTACCTCCAGGAATCCTAGTAGGTCTTAAGAACGAAGATCAGAGAAAAATTCTCTTGTGCTTACAGAAAAGGGAAAAAGAAAAGTAAGTATTTTGAAACTTTCCAAAGCATTCTGTTCTCTTTAACCAGTCCTGCCCTCAAGCAGAGAGATGGAAACTGGAATAATCCAAAAGAAATAATAGAAATCAAAAATATTATAACAGGAAAGGATCAGTGAGCTTCAAGATATGTCAATAAAAACTTCTAAAACTGAAATGCAAAGAGAAAAATGTATGAAAAAAATAGAACAGAATATCCAAGAACTGTGGGACAGATAGAAAAGGTGGACCATTCACACATTGGGAATATTAGAAAAGAAAGAAAGTAGAAGCAAAGAGAAGAAATATTTGAGGTAATAACGGCTGAAAATTTTACAAAATTAATGACAGACACAAAACTACAGATCCAGGACATTCAGAGGACACCAAGCAAGATAAATACCAAAAAATCTATACCTAGTCATATCATATTCAAACAACAAAACGTATAAAATACTGAAATAAGCCAGGAGGGGAAAACGTTCCTATAGAGGAGCAAGGTTAAGAATTACATAGGACTTAAGAAGAGGATAGAGTGAAATATTTAGTGTTAGAAAAAAAACCCACCAACCTAGAATTCTGCTTCCAGCCAATTATCCTTCAAAAAGTGAAATAGAAATAGATATTTTTGAACAAAAATTGAGGGAATTTGTCTCCAGTAGACCTCCCATACAAGAAATTTTAAAAGTTCTTCAGAGAGAAGGAAAATGATATAGACCAGAAACTCCGATCTACATAAAGAACATTAGAGAATAAATAAATGAAGGTAAAATAAAATCTTTTATTTTTCTTATTCTTAATTGAGCTAACAGTTAACAGCTTGTTTCCAAAATAACAAACACAACATATTCTGTGATTATAGTTTAAATAAACAACGTTATCAGGAGGAATTGAGATTACTATTATAATGTACTTGCACTTCCCAGGAGTGAGTTAACTGGGTGCTACAAACAGTTAAATGTACAAGTATTAGCCCAGAGGTATCTCAGAAGACAGGTTTGGCAATCCCTTCTGTAAGGCTGCAGCCCTGAAAATCCTATGGAGCAGTTCTACTTTGCACACATGGGGTCGCTATGAACTGGAATCAATTCAACAGCAACAACTACTCGGAAAGTGGTAAAATGTTACTTGAATGTCAACCGGAATTACTGGTAGATATATCTTGAGAACTCTAAAACAACTATTAAAAAAGTAAAACAAGGAAGTATAATTGATAGACTAAGATGTGAGAATACGGAATCTTATTTCAAGCCCAATTAAAACCAAAGGAGGCAGAAAAAGAGTGAAAGACAAAAGAAAACAAACACAAGGGCAATGAACAGAAAACACTAACACATGGTAGAAATCAATCCAACTATATCAATAATCATTTTAAATGTCAATGGTCTAAATACATCAATCAAAAAGCAGAAACTATATGCTCTACATTTTAAACATAAAGATAAATTAAAAGTAAAAGAAACTCAAAAGAAAGATTGAGTAACTACATTAATTTCAGACAATGCAGATTTCAGAGCAAGGAAAATGACCACAGATAAAGAGGGGCATTATATAAGATGGTCAATTATACAAGGAGACATAACAATCCTTAAATGTGTATGTGCTTAACAGAGCACCAAAATACCTGAGAAAAATCTAATAGAACTTCAAGGAAAAATAAATGAATTAACTACTATATGTGGAGATTTCAGCATTCTGTATCAGTAATTGACAGATCTAAACCAAACCCACCATAATTGTGTCAATTCTGACTCATACTGATGCCATAAGGTTGACAGATCTAGGGGGTAGAAAATCAGGAAGGACATATTTGAGCTAGTAACACCATCAAATGACTGGATCTAGTTGATATCACAGAATACACCATCCAAAAACAACAGGGGACATTCTAAGATAAGGGGGACATTCATCAAATTAAACCACATTCTGGGCCACAAAACACACCCTAACAAATTTAAAACAATTTATGTACTCTCAAACCACAATGGAATTAAACTAGAAATCAACAACAGAAAAAGTTGGAAAATCCCAAAATAAAAACACACTTCTAAATAATATTTGTGTCTTCTTTTTTTCTTAGTTACCCTGGCTAGAGGTTATCAATTTTACCTATCTTTTCAAAGGACCCGCTTTTGTTTCCTGTTTTCATCTGTTGATTTGTTTTCTAGTATTTTTCTTTTCTTCTGCTTACTTAGGATTTAACTTGCTCTCTTTTTATAGTTTTCTAAGATGGTTATTAATATATTTCTTCTTTTCTAATTTGGGCATTCAATGCTATAAAATCCTTGTAAATACTGCTTTCACCGTATCCCGCAAATTTTAATAAGTTGTATTTTCATTCTCACTTATTTAAA